TGTGAAGTCTCATACGCATATCATGTATTCCAACCTGGAAGATATGTTGTAATGGGTTAGTAAAAGATTGTTCATGTCTGGCAATCTTTTTGGCTATCATAAATAAGGCCCAGAAAAAACAATACGGAATATCTCACCCACTAAAATGACACGAATTAACGGTCTGGCATTGCATGGATAAACTATGCTTAATATTTTGCAAACTTCTTTAATTCTCTGAGTTTAGATTAACATTCGCTTCTTTGTTCTCACTAAATAAGTATGTAAGATTCAGCAAGGCTCATTATACGGCCTAATGCAGGCAAATATTACATCGAGGACAATTAATGAAGCCTCCATCGTCAGAGCTCCTTAAAAGAGATCCCGATGTTTCAAATCAGTTGCTTATCTATATGCGCCTAACTTACTACTACATCATTTGCGGATTTAAAGTGAATTAGAACGGTAACCAAATATACCCTAACAGGATGTGAAAGACTGGATTCTCTTGCACAATTAAATATGCTAATAATAAATGTATTCATGCCAGGTCGAATCATCTGACTAAGGAGTTTCATTAGCCAAAGTTGAATTATCTACAAGGATATAAATAGGCCCATGGTAGTAATAAATTTGCATAACCTTGTTTTCCAAAATTCAAGTCTCGGTCTTCATCCCTATATGCAACCCAGTTTCAATGTCAAAATTATTCAAGATCCACTAATAGTATTAAAGCCTATCTAATATGATCACAATAGTGTTATTACTATATTATACGAATGTTAAATCGAATGTCATCCTCATAGTCAAAGACCCATTTAAGCAATTGATTACAATGAAGTGATTTTATTTTGCCAAACTGGAAGCGGTTAATCGAAAATATATAGAATTTGAATGCACTTTTTTTATAGCCATATGATCCATATGAAAAAGTTTTAAATTTGTTTTCCTTACTCCACTCTGGTGTTGGAGCATTATCCACAAGGCCAAAATAACTAAAATTATGGACGCTAAGGAAAAACGACAAACATTCCCGACTCCGAATATAAAATGTATTCACTCTATTTCGTTTACGATGAAAGACTGGTAGTTGAATTATCACACAATGATATGAATAGAGCTAACGTTTACTTTCACATAGACCTGCTTTCTTAAAAGACTTCTTATCTATAGTGGGCTACAATTTAAACTTTGCCTACGTCTTATCAACACCCCCAGCTGGAGTTAAATCATGATAGTGCCGCACCATTTCCGTGAGTAACTCTGGGTCAAAGGGCATATGTAAATTTTAAGGGAGGTCAGTCATTTTCCATATCGCATTCTGTGTTGGGATTGTCGATGAACCAAGCCTATATTTGAGATGAGAATCGACTACATTAATTATTACTCCTCTTGGAACCTGTGGATTCTGGTTTTTGTGCCATGATAGTAAGGTGCACTTTTTGTTCCCTAATTTTACTAGCTTCTCTTTATTATAGCGTATATACTATGGCTTATATCTTCCCTTCCTGCACAACCGTCATAGGGTCTTCTTAAATGTCTTCTTGTATATGAGAGGCATTCGGCCTATTACATTTAAGATGATGAAGGACTGGTAGTTGAATTTTTCCACAATGATATGAGCAAATCTGACGGTTTAATCATAATTCACATAAGGTTGCTTTCCAAAAGGTATTCTCATCCAGGGTAAACTTCAGTTTTGACCTCGCCTAGGACTTAGCACCATCCCTAGCGAGAGCAGAACCATGACAATAGTGTCCGATCTCATCACGTTAACGACTGCACCACAGTACCACGGGTGATCCTGGGTCACAGGGCAGATTTGAACTTCAAGGAAGGTCGGGCATTTTCCACTCGTATTCTAATTTGGGATTGTCGATGAAACAAACTTATACTTGCTATATTCATCGATGACATTGCTTTTTGATTAGGTATTAGAGACTACCATTAAGTCAGATATATCAAAGAAAACAAATATGCAAATATTGCATGCAAGACGATTTTCTGGGAACTGGCAGTCATTCCCAGTCTAAACCATTGCATTTCATTTCAGAACCTCGTTATTTACAGAGTTATAGCATAGAAAGGAAAGCTTGAAATTAATTTTTTGTTAGCCTATCGTAATAAAAACATTTGCCACTTCAAAAAGGTTTTAGATTTAAACAGCAACTGCTGCAACCCCCTAATTTATTAGATTTCTGCATTCGACAAAAATGAGTGTTTTCTATTGGCTTGCTAAAGAAAACAACCCCAATCTAATGTACTAAGATAAAAATGACGTAGTCCCTCTCTGCCAGTATTTTTTCACCTTAAGGATCGACTACAATCATCGTTCGAGACGTGATGATAGCTTCAAAGACTTAATTATTATGAATTAAATTAACGTTATCAATGGTAGCAGTGAAAACGAGTTAACTTCATCGCAAACAACAGCTTTTAAAGAGATGTGGTTTGACAATTTTATAACCTGTCTACAAATTTTTACGTAACACACCAATTGGAACTTGTGGCAATGCGATCAAGTGGTAGTACGTCGAAACTAAACGCATCATTACAAGGGAATAACTCTCTTGAGGCAGAGCCAAAAGAAATTTAATGGTGTTAGGCATACTTATACACCGTAAGAAAATTCAAAACTAGACTTCTGTCATGGTAGTCGAAAAGTTAACTTATTATATTCGAAATCACCTCGCCGTAGTCTTCAGTAGCAGTGATGGCAAGAACATATTACCATTTACTTTGGACGATTTAAAAAGGTGGTAAAGAAGCAACAATTCTACGGCAGAGCTAATAAAAAAGCCGACTGTAGACGCCGGGTACGGTGCAGCCGGAACTTCCAGGATTGTACCGATTCCTAGCTACGACACCAGGCTGTGAAAATAACTACAAATTTACCTTTTACTAGTGAAAAGAGAACAATCCCAGGTTTACCGACACCACAATTTAAGCCCATTACTAGGTGGGAGCCAACTTAATTTCACTGATTTTCTCCTTGTCCCAGCTGGCATTTTTGAGATAATTTTGAAAGTGCATTTCAGACACTCGACGTTCAACGAATGCAATGTAGGCATTGACGAATATTCTGGATGCCTCCCCTCTTCTGTGTTATAATAGCATGTTTTAATTTTCCGATTGCCAGTGGTCATAGATTAACCTTACAAGTAATGTAGAATAGAGCCATCTAGTCATTTTTCTCGGCATTAATATGCCAGAAGTGTTTGAGCACACTTTATACACTCAATAGATACACGATTTTATTGAGATGAATTAAAAAAAGATGCAAGGAAGATATGAATAGAAACTGGTTTAGCGAGCCAAGGGCTACGTGACGCAATCCAACGGCCTTCACCCTGTGGCAATCTATTCCACGAATTTCTCCCGACCGACTTTTCCTTCGAAATGGAGTTATTTCACAATAAATGCGAGAACTATTTACTTTGTATGATTGATAAGGTGCGTAGGTCCGGGAAATCCAGGCCATTGAGCTGCATCGAATCAACATGTGAATCATGAAGGGTACTCAGAGATAAGTGACAAAAAATTTCAAAGCGATACAGCGAAGTAAACTCGGAGTGTGATAATTTAAGCAAGATGAAGATCTACAAAGAATGAAACCGAGGTGACCAAATAGGGGATGGATATTTAAGAAGGTACGCAAGACTGAATTAAGACTGGTATATTTAGATACTTATCGCACTTTGCCAACCGATGCCCAGCACCAGTTATTAGATTCAACATAATTAAGAGCACATCACAATGTGCAACGCTTTCTCGCACTTTTGCCCGGTGAACGAAAAACCCAGAATTAGGGCTTCCAAAGATAAATGATTTAGCCTCACATCACCATGTCCCCCACATCATACTGGTGGGGCATAATCCGAAAGCCATCCGTGACATATTTCAAGATGCAGTAGAGAATAACTCGAAGAGCCCACCAATGAGCCAAATCATCTTTTCTTACTTTAGTTCTACCAACTTCCTGACTGTTTACACGAAGCATGAAAAAACCACAGCTCCAGAGACTGTAGATCTTTTCAATCCCGAAACCAAGCGAGGATAATCACCCTCATCCACTCTACTCAGGAGTCTGAACAAACAAAACTATCGAATATATGAAGACCAAGATGACGTGGCCATTTCTGTGGTCGCAGTCTCTTTTCGTTGTATATAAGTTGTTTGACCTTGTTTTCGCAACTTGGTCATATTGGTAGGAATACTTGGAGGAACGAACAATCCGGAGTTCATTGTATGCATGATCATTTTCAAAGTCGGACCGTGGACGTAGTACATTCCCATGAGAATGTGTGCTCCTCTACACCTTCCTACCAATATGACCAAGTTGCGAAAACAAGGTAAAAAAAACTTCTAAAACTATCCAAGCCTCCAATCGCAACAATGGATTTCTCGCAAGTAGTCAGTCCCTTTTAAACTAGGGTTGACAAGAGCCCAATCTAAATAAAATTCTTCTCAGTTATAGAAACGTAAGCATAAATAAGGACTTAAATAACCTAGTAAGGAAACTATTGAAAAATTGAAATCAAAAGCAAACACGCAGGCTACATAATCAGTTGGTGAGAAGGTATTCAGTTAACATGCGGTACATGTATTATCTTAAAAATCAGAGCTATGATGAGAAAACGGTATTTGTAATCGAAAAGCCATATGAAGAAGGCAGGAGAGAAGATAAAATATACAAAAAGGGATAAAAAGCACCAAATACGAGAAATGTCGCCTATCAAGGAAAAGGGAGACAAAGGGCTGGATGATCGTGGATAGACCGACGTTCAAGATGCATGCTTATGAACCGTATTATGCTTTACGTTTGCATACGAGTAAAGTTCGTCCACAAGAGCATAAGAAAAAGGAATAGGACCAAAACAAAAATATTACCACGCATATGACTGTTTTTGTGAGAAAAATGCAATGCTATGCAGCACAGATGAGCAAGATTACTTAAATCATACTACGTCGAATACTGGCCCCTGAAGACTTTGAGCCTAAAGGAACATAAGTACCAAGACTTACAAGCTCGAATGCTCCATTTTAATGCGAATAACCAAGCTCCCTTTGGAGTGATAAGCAGTCGGGTCCATGAGGTGCGACAAAGGCTCATCCAATGCCGCTACTTCTTGCCCAGCATTGCATCCGGGTAGAAACTCAGTCATATTGTAAATTCCTGCTTTAAAATTCAATCCTAATCGAGTCCCATCCTGATTGGTGTTGAGCCCAGAACTCATCCGAGCCCGCTTCATTTGATCTTCTTGTGCATAAAGCCCCCTAACTTGTGAACCTTGGTCCCTAATCATAATTTGCATTGCATTATCCTCCCCATCTCCGATATCTTCTTCTTCGTCATCATCTTCGTCATCCTCATCATCTCCATCCTCATCCTCCTCATCCTCCTCATCTACCTCGCCTCTTTCCTCCTCATCTTCCTCTGCTTCTCCATCAGCATCCTCATCTACATCTCCGTCCCCATCTGCGTCTGCATTCCCTTCTCCATCTCCATCTTCATCTCCATCCTCCTCTCCATCTCCATTTCCATCTCCATCCCCATCCCCATCTCCATCCCCATCTCCATCCCCATCTCCATCCCCATCTCCATCCCCATCTCCATCCCCATCTTCATCCCCATCTTCATCCCCATCTCCGCCCATATCTCCATTCGCGTCTCCTTCCCCATCTCCATCGACCTCACTTTCGCCTTCCCCATCTCCATCAGCCTGACTTTCACCATCCTCTTCTTCGCCTTCCTCCTCGTCTTCTTCCTCCTCTTCCTCTGGCTCTTGTATTTCTTGCATTTCTTGAATTTCTTCCCTGCCTTCATGTTCAGCCCTAGGATTTCGATTTTCCTCAGTTTCTAACTCTTCTTCATCATCCTCGTGATTGTTCTCTCTTTCCTCACACTCACCCTCTTCCTCCTCATCATCATCATCATGCTCTTCATCTTCCTCATCTTCTTCCCCTTCGTCATCCTCTTCCTCTTCCCCTTCATCTTCTCCTTCAACTTCAAAGTTCCGACTGTTTTCAAGGCTATTCAGCAATGGTTCCGCAGCTTGGACCAAATCGCAGTTATCTGGGTCTAATTTGCAGGCTTGCCATTCTTCCAAGCTATTGCAATGTTTCCCGAGGCCCTGCTCTTGTTGTGTATCTTGGCCTTCCACTCCTTCCTCAGCCTGGCTGAGACTCTCTTGGGGCATCGATCTCGCCATGAGGCGGGTTCGCTTTCTAGACACACCAGAGGAACTTCTTGTGGACACTGTTCTAGTACGCTTGCCAGACCTAGCCGAGCAATTGCCATCCGGGGAAAGTGATGAGGAGGAATGTTCATCTCCACTGGCTGGCGCGACATCGGACCTTGTAGCGGCTAATCGAGATCGCCGTCTCATCCGAGAATTAGTGAGTGGTGATGGCCCAAGGACCTCTTCAGCGGATACGCCAGGATGCTCCTCTCGAATATGTACCTCAAGGACCCAACGACGCCGCTGAGGCATCTGCTTAGAGCAGAGTGGACAGAGCTAAAAACAAGGAGAGAATAAGTAAAACAGAATTATTAAAAAGAAAATGTGGGACGCATATTAGGATTGGAAAATATCGGAAGCACATGATAAAGTGAGAGTTAATTAATAGTTGCGTTGGCTTTCTAAATTCCAATAGTTGAAAAGCCCAGAAAGAAATGGGAATGCTCAGTAATCCGTATTGTCACTTACGAAATCCTCTGATCATAGATCTAAATCTCGCCTAGACTTTGACAGCACCATACGAAAAACATCTAGACAAATGCTATTTCTTTAAAATGTCCATTTTCCTTTATTTAGATACAGCATTCAAAAATTGACATTAGAATAAATAAAACTAACTACTTATTATGTAATGGAAAAGAAGTACACGTGCTCACCCTTCGACAAGACAATGCGGAAAGCGCATATGGATAGAGGAAACAAGTAAAAATAAGTTTAGTGTACTGGTATGACCCTGGTCGGAGCATCAGGGAGACCATGTGAAATGTGCCTAGTCATGCGTCTTCTGCCATTGCATTCGTGATTTCCAGCATCAGACGACATCGTCAGTGAGAATATTTGGAAATGCACCAAGTCAGTGGTACGATGCTAGAAATCACTAAAACTATGGCAGAGGACGCATGACTAGGCACGTTCCACAAGGTATCCCTGATGCTTCAACTAAATCGCGAAAATGAGTTCAAACCAATAGTAAAAAGGTAAGAGACTGAGGCTAAATAGAAGGCCACACCATCTTGGTCCTCATCTCTACGAAAAATAAGTTTATTTCATGGATATGGATAAACGGATTCAATGCTAACCTAGAAAAAGACCTTAAGATATATTTAGAAATGTCTAGTAAGCATGCAGGAAAAGTTTACCTAAAAAACCAAAAAGGCTAAATTTGGATGTAGCAGCAAGATCAGCCCATACTCAACTCAATTTCACGTGCCCAAAAAGATCTGCTCATTGATACTTCTCATTTCACTTATTTGTTTTAAGTAAGTGGGCAGGTTGTTTTCTACTAATTCTAAGCAATGACATCATATTGTGGTGACTTGTGGAGTACCTAATATCAGAGAACAACTATTCTCATTGCCCAGAAAATATTTGTTTTACCGCTATTATGCCTTTGGTCTCAATTATAAAGGATCTCGTCAACACTCCGACACCGGATAGCCATGACTAATTGTATAACAACACCTGCGCTAAATGTGAGGTATAGTGGTAAGCGTACAGTTGCCTATCGATACATGATGAATTGAGGGGTATTGTTCGCCTTAAAAGTTATATTTGACATAGAAAACAACATATCTGGGATCAGGCGGCCCAGAAAGTAGAATATTAATATTTAAATCTGCTGGAAGTTCCGATACAAACTAGACTGGATTAAAAAAGAAGTCCACTTTAGATGGAATCGCTCTTTTTATACCTATGGAAAATAAACTAAATAAGGAAGTCAAAGCTTGAACACGTTTATTTGTGGCCAATATCACAAACGACGCTTGAAATAGCACAATATGAAAAATAGTGTGTTAGTAACGCTCTTGTAATGTTTAAGCCTAATAACTCTAGATAATTGGTCATTATATAACATGTAGGACTGCCGAATTTATCAGTTCTACAGTACGTTCAGAATATTCGCCCGTGCAGGAAGAAAATGAGATGTAATTACTCCTCGGAGAGCACACGTTTTCGTTCCAGATGCCGAAAAGACGATATATAGATTTCCGTCAGTTTACCAAAACAAGGCAATTATGGAAATGGTATACAAGACTAAAAACTAGTTTAAGATTCGTTTACAAAATTACCTAAGAGTTGCCTCAGCAGAATCTACAAAAAGCGTTAATCGAGAAAATATTAAACGAAGAATAAGAGAAAAAAGGGGGAACATTAAGCTCATGCTAGAGGCATTTAAGTGGCATAGATCAAGGTGGTTATAAAGCTGTTTTCAGTGAATCCATGATACAGATAGCTATAAAAATATGCAAAGTTACGTAAGAGTCTTAAGAAATCGTATAAAATATAAACCAAATAGGAAGTAAATTAAAAAACCTCTGGTTGCAAATAAACATCGATTTACCAAAAAGGTCCCTAACACGTGTTCAGGAAAGCAAGAATTCTACGTAGTTAATTAAAGACCTATCTCTAAAAATGAGTAAAGTAATGCAGCAGAGTTGTATTGGTCCAACAAAAGCTGAAATTTCCAATGGCCGCATCAGAAAATATCCAGCAATTCAATTAATTAGATTGCCCTAGACCCCATAATACCGATGCTGTTTAATGGTTAGATTATATCATTTATACAAAAGACGAATTCGTGAGATCATTATTCACATGAGTTTTTTGGGTATTATCTGTTCAGATTAATTAATCAATAACGCATGACCTGAGGTAGATTCGGGATTAATCGAGGTCGTTGAACAAAACACTGATGACTTATTTGACCAAATCCGAGTCAATTTACGAATCCTTTCCACTTGTCTCTTCAAACGATATGAAGGGAAGTGGTC